TGTACCTCTGGTGCAAATTACTGACCTCTGTCATCATTTTAGGTGGGGGAACTTGCACAATCGGTGGCTGACTAAATACTTTTTTGCCCCACTGTATTACAGATGATAGTTGGTCTTAATATCAAATTCTCCCTCACTGTTACACTACTGGAGAAGCGAGATTTAGAAATGTGGGAGTAGTTTGTTAATGATTAATAGAAACTTGAAGAATGTACTTGTCTTTAAAAAAAATGTCTGGAAGACAAAGCCAGTTAGCAGAATTTAAATGTCAAAAAACTGATTCTTCTTTAGAATGAAGGGCACCTGGCGTGGCTACACACGTCACCAGGGACTCAGTGGGTAGTAAGGGGTTCATAAAACTATTTATGCTAACAATAGACAATTCTTAGGCCTGCATTTATAAGAATAAATTGTTTTCCGTCGTATGCACATGCTGGATTTAGCGATGAGATTACAAACAACAAAAGTGGGATAAATCCACACTCTTATAAAAAGTATGGCGGTGATAACTTGGCATCAACCTGTAAAACAAAATCCATATATGTTCCTAAAAAGACTAAAGGGTTCATTAAGAACAAGCATATTAAGTGTGAGTATTTTTTTTTCTTTTTTTTTTTTTTTAGGAGGAATTTCCACCATGACGTGTAATTTCTCATTCATATAATCTGCATTGTGCATGGTATTGAAACTGTCCATATCTGTCCCTGTAACATGATTATTTCTTTTCAGAATAAGTCTGAATCTTTTGTTTGTTCAATTTTATGATGGGACAAGTTCAGTCATTTACCACTGGACCTTGAAACAGTTTACAGTGGAAGCCATTACATTTCTTTATAAAATTAAACACTTTTGACACCTTATGTTCTTTGATAAGAACAAACAAATTACATACCTTGTGTAATAATCCTTTAATGCTTTGTCATTCATTACCTTGATATTTTTCACTTGCATTGACCCAGTTAATTTGTTTGTGCATTTTTCTTCAACAGGACAGTTCTGGTGGTAGCAGGGGGAGAGTGAAATGGGAGCCAGAGGAAGCTACAGTCTCTCAGGTGAGCTCCTGGACAATTTCATGTAAAGAACAATCACATCCTGGGCCGGTTCTAGACAGTCATATATGAGGGGGCAGACAGAAATGTAAAGGTGGCACCTGGTGGCAGTGGAAGCAAGAAAGGTGTGGGGGTTGGTTGGGGTGGTCTGGATTAGAGGTGTCACAAATGATTATTTTGATAGTTGACTAGTCACCGATTATTGCGATTAGTCGACTAATCGGATCATCATCCATTGGACCCAAAACGTACAGCTTATTGCACCAGCATGCATCTGCTCTTATATAACTATCATTAGCTAACAGCTTTAAGTGTTTAAAGTACGTGCTAACTAAAAATAAAGACAAGATGATAGTTTAAGTTAAACTTTTAATAACATTTGCAGTTTGAGCTGGCTTGCCGGCTCTAGTGAGCCTTGAACCCCCGCCTAGCTATTGAGTGGGTGGGTAACAGACGTCTCTGAAAACGTAGAAGCATTTTTGCAAATATGTGATCTCTTGATAAATCAAGCAGATATTTGAAGTTTACACAGCTACATTCTTGTGACCCAGAAAGAGTAATATGAGTAATATTAAAACTAATTACCAACAATGGCAAATTGGCTGGGCTACGCTATGAATTCTGGGATAGGTTGGGCCGTGAAGGGTACACCCGACCCATCCTTCAAATCTTGGGAAATGAAGGACGCATTTGTCGGCTGCATTTGTCGGAGTCTACGAATTTGGACAGCCTTTGTTGTGTCACTGTGATGTAATCGGCCTAAAATGCAGCCTAAGACGTGGACCCTAAATTTGGACACTGCTACGATACCGTAGTGAGTGAGTGAAGTTGTCCCCCCCCCCACCTTCTTCAAATCCAACAAAAGTGGTATCAAACGTTTGTGC